CTGGGGATTTGCTGTGCTTTCCCCTTACATTCCTACCCAGTTGCATTCTGTGGAATGTTATGTTCAACTTAGAAATTTCAAACTCACAAAGAAAATAACAGTTAAAGAGTGTGGTATATGAAGTTCTGTACATATTAGGTTTGGATTGCCTAACTCCATTGAGTACAGTCCTTCTTGACAAGCTGACAGTAAAAATTTCCCTGCTTTTATGGAACCTAACAAGATTTTTTTTTGTAATCTGTCATATTTTGTATTGGTGTATTTTTTTATTTAATGTGTAAATGGTAAGGTTGAGACAAGAAAATATCACCAAAGAATTCAAGAATGTTTGAAAAGTTGCTATTAAAGTAAGGTAATGTGCTCACTTACAAGGTCATAACACTGATAGAGAAAGAAACTACTTTCACTTTAAATTATCCAGAACCAAAAATATTTTTGGCATTAATGGCTCGTATTTAGTGATGTGCAATAATTCACAAGCAGTTTTGTTCTTGGACAGTATCTGAATCAGTACCAGCTTCCTATCCAAATGATGTAAGATCGAAACAGTATTTTTATTTCAGACTGGATAAATATGCTGTGGAAACTCATATTAGCAGCCTTTTACATAGCTCTTGCCCATGGCCAGTTCCAGGGTCCCCCAAGGCCTGCTGGTCGTATTCTTGAGCCTCCAGTACCTGTCTTATGTGCTCAGAGTAAGTGAATACTTATAGGTTACTAAAAATAAGTGATCTGAAGTTGTGATGGGAGGTAGAGTCTTTGCTTCTCAAGAAAGACTGTTCCATAGAGTTAATAGATCAGACTGTTGTTGCAGTTTGCCACATCTATTGCATAATTAGTGGACCAGCACAGTTAACTGTTTTCAATTTAGAAATTAAAAACCATAAAACTGAGTGCTTTTGACAAGTAGAATTTTTCATGATAATAATACTGATTTGTTAGCATTCTAATAATATTGACTTGTAAAGTGCTAACAGCTTTAATACAACTTAATAATGAATCTGAAAAAGGGTCACTTTTTCATTAATGATTGGTATCCAGGTGGAAGAAATTTCTGCACTGGCTTCACTGATTGTTTGCTTTGAAAATGCTTTGTGTGCAGATTACAGTATTTAGATATTCTGTTGATTCAAGATACAGCACAGCTCTCAGCAACTAATTATTGAAGTGTGTGAAGAAATTTTTCCCTCTGAATGAAATGTAATCATGCAAATAATTTATTATGTTGATGGTGTATATATTCGAACAAACCAGTCACAATAATTATTGCTACCAATATGAATAATGTAGTTCTTGATAAAACTTGACTGCTTTATGCTGATAAATTGCCTGGCATTTCTGCTCCATTTTCCTGCAGGTGCCATAGATATTGAACTGTAATGAAGTTGGCTCCAACTGTTTGACTTTTGTTACTTGATCAGATGAAGTAAATGTCTTTTTATGAGTCAAACTGCATATTTCTGGTGTTTGCTCAAAGGCTGGAGAGGACACCTTTCTTTCATAGTACTAGTTGCTCTTTATCAAAAGTCTCTTAAGCAAAACAAAAGTCTTGCCTGATAATGAAGCTGAAATACACACTTGCTTTTAGAATTAGGAACACAATGTTGGAATCTAAACAGAGTTTGCGTTCATCATCAGCAGTTAAAGGATTATTTATATATAAAATTGAATTTGGGATAGTAATATATTTGAGGCACACATTTCTCTGAGTTTTGTGAATAGACAGGCTTATGTGGAATAATAAATTGTCCAGAAACATATTTTAAGGATGCAGAGTTTTTATATTACTGAAAAATATCAACAATCAATAAATTAGTTTTAATATTAAATTCAATTACAGGAACCATCCATGAGAAAGTCAATGGAAAAGGATACTTCTATTCATGGAAGGACCCACGCACTGCCTCAGTAGAAGAGGATTGGTTGGGTGGTCGGAATTATTGCCGGCAGCGTTGCATGGACCTTGTAAGCCTGGAGACAAGTACTGAGAATGAGTTCATAAAGAGGCGTATAGTTGAAGGTAAAGTCAGAATTATTATGTTGATGGTTCAACCATTACAGGTATGTGTCTAGGTGAAAGAGCAGTGTTCTTGAAAAAAGGATGTATTGTAAGCCATGATAGTTCAGTCAGTAAAATGATGGATGTGGCTTGCTCAACCAGGATTTGATTCCCCGTAGGGAAATTAATTTTTTTCTTCCTCAGCATATTCTCAATATTAGCGATGGTCACCCAGACTCCCGTCTAAAGAGTACTAGAATCTCTATTAAAGGATGAAAGTTGGTTCAATGTGAAGCTAACCATTCACCCCCTACCACAGAGTTACCTCTGTAGACACAAGGATCACTTTATAGGGATTTCTTACTACCATTTCAGTCCAATGATACATGTCTAGACCTTTCATGTACTTTCAAGCTTGTTTTTATGAGAACGGAGATTGATTTTCAGTTAAATACAAACAGTTGATTATCCTAAGATTTTTATATTGAATGTTTGAGCTATCATACTAACATTAGGTGGGATGTGAACATAATTTTGTAAAGTTAATATTTGATAATTATAATCATTGTCATGATTATAATTTCCATTGTGTGGTTGCATTTAAAAATGATTATGTGTTAACACACTTTTATTATGTTTGGTTTAGGCAATGTAAAATATATATGGACAAGTGGTCGCCTTTGTGACTTCAAGGGTTGTAACAGACCTGATCTACAGCCTCTGAATATTAATGGTTGGTTCTGGACTGCTGAACTTAAGAAACTACCCCCCACCAATAATCGTGCCCAGAATGACTGGAGTGAAACTGGAGGGTAAGTTTTATATGGGGGGGGGGTAGTAAGGGCTAGTGATGTGCAACTCATAGCCTCTCCTATCTAATTGCCATCCTTACCTTCATGTGGTGCACCCTGTTTACACTAACAAGGCAATGGCAACCAAGTCATGGCGGTATAACCATCCCATTGAGGTTGGGAAAATATTACCTCATAATGCCTGACTAGAGGCTGTAAGGCAGCAACCCTGCTACTGGACTTGCTCTATGACTGGCTGGTAACCAAACCAGGGGACTACTAATTTTTTTGTGGAGGTATAGCTCCTCTCTTCCTTGACCTCAGCACTAGATGGGGGTGAGTGGTCAGCATCACGCCTCGGCCGGCTTTACCCCCGGGAAATGACCCCAGTACCCATTGTAGAGGAGGCTGGGTGGGCCCCAGAGCCGGTCTGGACGCAGAGGCTAGAGGAAAAATTCTCTGCCCCCGTCGGGGATTGACCCCCGGCCGTCCAGCCCGTAGCGAGTCACTATACTGACTGAGCTATCCCGGCTCATAGGGGACTACTAATTACTCGAAGAAATCTCAAGAAAGAATTTAGGAACAGGCCATATGGCCTAAACGCTGAATAGTTCATGATGATCCAGTAATTTTTACTCTCAAAATATAAAAAAAAAAATTCAACATAAGCAAATTTGTGTAGTGGTTTAAAGCTTTTGTTACATCCTTTCTGAAGTAATGTTTGGTTGAAGGGGCATTATATTGATCTGTTTAATGTATGAATGTAAGCTTTAAATTGTCATTTGAAGTCTATCAGTAAAATTTGTAACTCAGTAATTTAAAAAGAAAATAGAACTTTATTTAAGAGAACCATATTAATCTTTGTTTACACTGCTGTAAGATGGATGTTGCAGTTGACTTATTTGATCATATTAAAATTTGCTCAACAGTTTTAATGTACACTTTCGATAGCACATTTCATCCATATTCTTCTTGCAATGTGTGTGATGGAAAAATATGCAAGGATGCAAAAGGTATAGTCCCCTGGAAGATCTTTATTTAATGCATGTTTCTACAGAATGCTTAATAATTGGCAAACACTACTTTGTTGTACAGAATTAAGAGACCTCAGCCAGACAACCGTGAGTTCATCCAACAAAATGGAGCTCCTGAGAACTGTTTAGCTGTACTAAACAATTTCTATAATGATGGTGTTCATTGGCATGATGTTGCTTGCCATCATCGCAAACCATTTGTGTGTGAGGAGAGTGAATCTTTGCTGAAGTATGTTCGTTTCACAAATCCAAATCTTCGTGTATAAACAAAGTCAAGAGGCTTTCAACAAGATGTAATTTATCAAGGATGTGATATTAATCTTCCAGTTCTTAGAAAATTTGGGCATTTCTTTTAAGTCAAGCAGTTATAATGAGAACTAAAACTTCAGATTTGGTATAAGTTTATGCAAGAATTGTTCTAATAGTATTAAAATGGTTACTTGGGCCAAAAGATTATTTTTTGTGAAATGTTTAGCTTTTCAAAATGCTTACCTTTTACTATATTTGGCCATAGCAAGCATAATTAAGATTGAATTTATATCTTTATATCAGGCAACAGCTCTGATTGGTCATCATATTATAGTTGTCTAAATGTTAAATGCTGATAATAACAATGCAAGACTGGTATTTTGACACTAGTAATTGCTTGAGCATGTGTTAAGTTTCATATTGGCAAGATCCATTAGACTGATGAAAAAGAAATGCATAAAGTGCCAGTGTTGATCAGATCAGTATTCTTATCTGGTATGTCCATTATTTTGTATTATTACATGCATACTGCTGCACTTGCTCCCTGGTGGTAGAGCTGAAAGACTGGGTCATTCCTGAACAATTAAAACTTGAGAAATTAATTTAAAAAGAACTTAAAATAAGAAAATGGAAAACAGTGGTTCAGTGGAAATTTCTGTGTTGGGTCTTTGAAGTTTGCCACTAAAAGATAAACATAACTATTACTGATTCTCACTCTGAATGAATGTGTACTTCTCATGAGAAGAGCACTATAAGATGAGTGCATGTGGAATAAATGGAAGAGTATAAACTGCAAACGTTTCCTATTAATCTGACACAGTGAACTCTTAAATTATTCACTGTAATTGAGTTGAAAAGTAATAATACAGACCAGTGGAGAATCCAATTGTAGTTAAGTTCCGTATTTGCATTAATAATGCTGGCAGTTCATCAACAACTATTATTGGATAGTGAAGTGATAGAATATTATAAGAACAGGTCTCTAAACTAATTTTTCTGTTTAGATGCTAGTATCTGCCAGCTATAAGCAATACACTGTTATACTCTGAATTATAACTAATAATACATGTGCATTTCCACTCCCTTCAACATCACTAATTCAGAACCTTGTGAGTAGACCCAATCATGAGTCAGTTAACATTACCAAAACCTTCCTTTAGATCAATTTTAATATTATCCAGCAGTCTTAGTTGTGTTCCTTGAAGAGGTTCTGTATGTGTTTTCCTGTCCTCTCTGAGCTGTGAGACCAGCCTATCATAACATCCTTGATTTAACCACTTTAAAAATAGCAGGAGAACAAACACAATACTGAATTTATTTTAAAAAGTAATTTTATTCTTTTCTGGAGCTGAGAAGAAAAAACATGTAACTATCAAGTATTATAAAAACCTTTAATTGGAAGGCCTTTGGATAAACTGTCTAGGGGCCTGTTGGTCTGGACAGGAAAGAATGCAAGCTGGTAACATGGTTGCTAACTGGCCATGGTACAATGAGACAGCAGCTAAATGTCATGGCCCTCTTGGAAGACACAAGTGCAGGAAATGTGGACAGGAGCTCCATCTTATGATGGAGGCAGCAAGCACCTCTGAAATGTCGGTAAACTTATACCATGCTACATAGTGCAACATCCAAAAATACATTAATCTTCATATTTGCTGCCATAAGAATCTAATAGATTTTCACTTTTTTCCCATAATGTATTTTTGGTCTTACATTTCAATTCCTGTATTTCTTTTTTTATGACCCAAATGTTGAATGTGTTGGTGAATCATGAAGAAGAATGGGTGCTTTGATTTATTAAGGTGACCTCTTTTCATGTCTGTCATGCTATTCAATAAGCAAGCTCATATGTTGTGCATCTTTGTCTGTATTATCCTTTTGAGGGTTTAAACCACCATTTTCTTCATTGCTGGCTAAACCCATGTTTATATCATGTTGATCTGGAGGTTGCGGCTCCTGCTCAACCTGAGTCTTTCTTGTGGTAGTTGATGTTTGATACTGTGTATATGGATTTGGTACTTCATACTGTTGTTCTTTATTCGGTAAATGAGCAGAATACAGGAGAACATCACTGTCTTCACATATAAATGGTTTCCGGTGATGACATGCAACATCATGCCATTTGATTCCATCATCATAGAAGTCATTGAGGATAGCCATGCATTCTTCCTCAGCTCCACCTTGGATGTATTCACGGTTGTCAGGCTGAGGACGTCCAATGCTATGGAATAATGATTACTATGTTACATTTCACATGGTAACTTGGATTTCATCACCTAACTACTTTTAACTTTGTGAATATCTGCATGGAAGAGAGCAATAGCTTGCTTCAGAAACCATTGAGATATTAATACCATGTAATCTTACCCCCCATATTCACTCCAGTCTGTATCTATCCTGTTGGTAGTTGGTGACATTTTTTGAAGAGAACCAGTCCAAAACCATCCATATACATTTATTGGTTTCAAATCATGTCGATCACATCCTGCAAAATTACACTTGTGTCCACTTGTCCAGGTGTATCGAATATGACCTGCAACTCACAAGATTTACAAACTTCATGCAAAATTATACAGCACTTAATATTGAGATACCCACCAATGTCACATAAGAAACAATTGCTTATTCCTTCATAATCATTAAATAGTCCCAGACAGGTCAAATATAATTATATTCTCTGAAAGGGTGTTTCATGACTGAATTTCAGGAACAAGTAATTGCAATTAATAACTATAAACCTTACATATTTAACCTTTATTTTCTTTGTGTTTTGACATACAATTCAGATGGCCATATGTCACTTTAGCATACTGCTAAACCATTTAGGAGGGAGTTACAGTCTATCCAGCAGTTCCATAGTGGAAGGGTCCCCTGTCTCCAAATGATAAAGGTAAATCTGCAAAGCAATCTTGAATGCCAAACATGTCACTATGCCACAAAAACAATCAACTATTTGATATCTAGGTGCCTTGGAGCAGCAGGGCAAATATAATCAGCACATAATAATATATATCGGCTCATCAAGTATATATAGGTTATTCAACAACTTATCCCCTTATTATAAATACATCCAACCTCCCGGGTTTGCAGATAAGGTTTTCACTCTTTATTTTAATAAACCTGTATCATCCAATGAAACCACTCAAATCGGATACAGTTCCTCTGGATAAGAATGAAGAAATATCTTAAGAATAGCATACATATACTAAATTAGAATTTGATTTAGCTTATTTTCTATCGATAGTAGTAAAACTCTTGGAAAGAGAGACAGACGTGGTAGGAATATGACAGTGGATATTACAGAAATAAATTTGGATAATGAAAACTTGGTTGAACCAGCTTAGAATTGAACTTAGTAGGATGATGTCTAGCTAGAGTTTAGTGATGTAAAAATAGACCTTGCACTTTGGCATGTAATTTAATTTGTTTACTAACCTTTATAAATGTGTTCTTTTACAAATTCATTTTCTGCCTTTGTTTCTAAGCTAACTAATTCCATGCATCTAGTTCGACAAAACTCCCTTGCTTCCGACCAGTTGAGCTCAAGGTGTTCTGTCTTACGATCTTCCCAGGTGAACAGGTAGCCATGATCATTAAAATGATCATGAATGTTTCCTGAAAGACAATGTGACACATTGGAAGCTGGAATTTGTAAATGAATATTCAGAACATATGCTTTAAAATAGACTGTACTGAAACAATGAAATTGTTCATTATAATGTTAAATCTTATGAACATATGTTTCCACTGACCAAAAATTAAAGTAACCAGAGTGCCCACAAACAGTACTGAATTGATTTAGCTGCTTATTTATTGTCTGTTTTATCAAGTTAAGGAGGATGTTATAGGTGAAGCATGTTGCACATATTGGGGTGGGAGAAGAGAAATGTGTACAAAATTTTGGTTGGGAAGTATTAGGGGAAAGAGCCAAGTAGCTCAGTCAGTATAGTGACTGAATACAGGCTGACAATTAGAGTTCAATCCCCAGCAGGCAGAAGATTTTCTTCTAGCTTCTGCATCCAGATTGCCTCTGGGACCTACCCAGCTTCCTGTCCAGTGGGTATCAGGGGTCCTTTCCCCCAGGAGTAAAGCACAGCCAGGGTGAAACTGACCACTCACCCCACCATGTAGTGCCAAGGTTGAGAATGAGGAGCTGTACTTTCTCTCCCCGAGAGCAACTACATGGCATGTAACAGGATAGCTTTTTAGTGTGAGGGGAAGAAACCACCTGGAATACCTTGGCATGGATGGAAGGATATTGAAATATCTTAGGGAAGTGTGACCTGGATTCATTGGGCTCAGGATAGTATTTGTGCTGTGACATGTTCTACATTCTTGGCTTAGGCCTATGAAGGATCTGTAGAATGTAAATAGTTATATTATCAGTTGCTAATAGATCTCATGTCATTAGCTCAACATACATGCCTTTACTACTTGACTAAATATTTTTTCCATCCATTTAAATTAATGTGGAAATCTGCAAGTACTCTACCAATCTTGTCTTTTACCAAGTTGATTCTATGTTGGTATTCTTTAAGTCATTAAATCATTGAGGATCACAGACCATTGCCTACTCAGTTACAGTTCACTGCCTGTATACATAACCTAGCCAGTGAGAATTAATTTATTTTTAATACATTTAACTAGAGAAATTAAAATGTTAGAAATAAATGGATGTGTATATAATGATCATATGTGGGCACTTACCTGCTGAGGAAAATATACCAAATATGAGTTAATGTAATAAATGTAACAAAATTGTTGCACATATGAAATAAGAAAAGACTACAAATGCAGTTTGACCTTGGCCATAAGTTTGAAAGTGGAAACTTATTAAGCATGTTATAGTTATGAGAACACTCCATAAAATACTTACGGTTAGCACACGCATAAGGATCTATTCTTCGATCTAAATTGTTATTTTCTAATGTATAAACAGCTGCAGCCAGTAGCAGGGCAGTGCCTACTACTAGCCACATAGTGAATGTGTGACAGACACTGTATCCTGCAAAATACTTCATAAACAACCAAAAGAACAATTTATACACTGTGCATATCTTACAAGTCAAACCTCATTAGAAGTTCAAAACATGGATTAGAGACTGTCATCAAGGCACATTAGCAGTTTCTCAACCTGTCTCTCTTGGAGTGTCTGAGATAGCAAAGAAATAATGTAAGAACATTTTAAAGATAACTGAATACTAAAACACATTTCCTTATTTGCTTCAACTGACAGAAGTTTTTCTGCTATGCAGATAATGATTTGCTAGATTCTGAGTTAAAGGTTGCAGCATAGGAATCAAAACATACAATAATTTATAATGCCCTAAATAAGTTGATTATGTAGTAAATGATATGTGAAATATGAAATTCATTGTATGAGTCCCATTATGAATTTGTTATGAGACTTTTCTGTCCACCATAGAGAGTGAATTCTGGAAGTAAAATATGCTAATATCCTTTTTTAATGACCATGAGGTACATATTCCTGCAATTAATAATAAATGTATTCTGTACACTAGTTTAATATATTCCATTATTTAGATGTAGTGAAAGCATAATGGGTAAGTTGTGCCCATCTGCATGTTTCATTTCCGAAACTATTTAGTAGATTTTGATAAAATCTGGTATTGAGGTCTACACTAGAAACTACTGGTTGATTTTAATTTTGGTCAGTATCATGAAGCTTGAATCAGTGAGAAATAATACATGCTTCTAGTTCAGTACTGCTGATTACCTCAATCATCAATAAATATCTTTGTTAAACATTAAAACCAATCAGGGTGGGATAATTGCAAAGAATGAATTTTGGAAATATAAATTCCAAAATATAGTACAACTTCCCATTCTTTTGTATCTGAAAGTGGAAAGGAATAAAAAAAAAGGCACCCATTTGATCAAAGTGTACAAATTTCAGTATAACAGTATTATTATATTTGATTTTTCTTGTACACTGATATTTAACATTCAGGAAGATTTTCCACCACTGTTTTTAAGTTTCTTGGATTATCATCTTAATGACTGAGTGATAACCAATACACAAGAGATTAAAGTTGTAAGCTAACGAGTGTTAATCTGTGGCTATAAATAAGTGAGCCACTCCATTGATTGCAGTGTGTATCAACATCTACAAATATGTTCTTATATATTTGGCTTACTAAAATTTAGTTCAGTATGTGTTTCTCACTGCTTAAGAGCAAGAGGTCAATCAAAGAAAATGGTTACATTTGAATCTTCCACACTGTCTTATTGTATGGTCAAGTGTTAAATGAAATAGAGTATATTTTATCTGCTTCTTTCTAAGTTAACATTATGAAGCGGGAAAATTGTGTAACAAATGCTCCTTTTGCTAGAAACAGACTATACAAATGAAAGCTCATCCAGGTTTGATTTCAATGACATACGGAATAAATCTTTCTAGTCCTATGTCCCACCCAATGAGACATAAGCCATGAAAAAAAAGTACATATTAAAACAATGCCTTGCCAACTGACAAAATAGTTCTAGCAGCAATGTCAGAAGTGATAATCTAAGGAAAAAGAATCAACTGGTATGATTATTCAGCATCAATATATCATAAAAATGAATGAATAGGGAAGAAAAAGCAGCCCACTTGGACAAACAGATTATAAACCTACAACTTAACAACAATGTCTCACACTTTACAACTGAGCAAAGATGTAATAATGAAAAATGATAAAAGAACTTTATTTTTTTCCTTCAACCATTATAACATGATAACCAAATTTTGTTTTTATTGGTGGATCTGTGTACACAGGATTGTTTACTGTTGAAACAGGAAGTGCAAATGCTGCATCTTGAAATGGTCCAACCATTGAGCCTCTTGTCATCCAACCAAGATCACCCTGAAACAACAAGCATCAGCTTAGATCAGTTTTTTTTATTATGTATTTATTTAGTGTTCTGTCTGACGACAGGTCCATATGAACAGGATCCTTCCATCCTTTTCTCGGACTGGGACCTGTTCATATACGTTCTTGGCAGATGATCCAAAAGTGGTTTGCCATTGCCTTCTTCTGTGTGTGAATGGAGTAATTGTTGGGATGCCACAGAGAAACCGGGGAAGCCCCCGGAGGAAAACTCCGTGTTGCCTAGACCACGGCCTTGCCCAACACAAGTTATAAATTCGGGCACCGCCGGGAATCGAACCCGAGGCTCCAGGATTACAAGGCCAGCGTTCTAACCGCTAGCCTTGTAATCCTGTATAAATAACTAATCTGTCAAGAATTTAACTTTATTAATCAATGAAGCTTCTGCTGAGATCAAGGAATCAAGTCTGTCTATCTTTCACAGCACTCTACCCTCTTATTATCACCACGTTACTTTTCTGATGATACATAACTAAGCTGGAACAAAGTTATTCAACAGAAGTTAGGTGGTTTCAATATGTATCTGTTGGATAAAGGGATCCATACCCCCTGTCTTGCTTTGTCTTCACTATACTGAGCTGCAACTTCTGGGAATTTCATTCCACCCTTCAGTTTCTCCAGTGCCTCGAGTGCCTTGGTCTGTTTTTCACACAGAATATGACGAACCTGAAATACAAAATACTTTTAAAGTATATACACGTACAAGGTGCAGGAGCAGACAAGACTAGGCTACATGCATTACCTAAATAGCACAACCAAAATTAACATTGGTTATAATAACCTTGACCGCTGTACCTCCCTTTTTTTCTTTCATTACTCCTTTACTTTCATCCTCACTCT